AAAAAATACTGCAACGTTCTTGTTTGAATGTATTGTAACAAAGTTATACCCCGTCTTTATTTCCTAGCTGACGTAAGCTTCCAGCCCACCAGAATTGTGTTTCACAATTCATGTGTAATTTACTGGGATTCATCGAGTCCTCCCAGCCACACAGTTGAGATAGTATAGGAGCCATTAACCCTAGACTGACCACTCTCTGTTAAAAATAGGGATCTCTACGTCATGAGTAGGGGGGGGGGAGCAGAGTAGCCACTCAATAGTGAAGCGACCCCCTCCTTTCATCCGGGACCCTGGCCGATGGAGCCCAATTTGATTGGTCAATTAGTCAATAGGTGTTAATGAGGGTCGTATAAAAAGAGGTGCGCGGCTCCCTAGGGCTTGTTGAGATAAGGGATTTCACACGATACAGATTGGATTATACACATCATTACCTATTATAGATAGCGGCTTGTTAAACGAAGATGACTCAAGCCGGACTATCAGGCAGTTGGGTAAATACATAATATGTCTTACCATTTGTTTAGATAAGTGCTTATTACTGTAATATTACCTTATAGAAGTGTTTCATAATTTCGGGGGATTTTCCTACCTTGAAGATTTATATCTTACTTCGTTATCTTGGGTCTTAACTAACTGTGTATAGTTACTAATTTCCCAACTTTATTAATCAACTAAATTATTTGTTTAGACCTTATTAACTCCTTATCTCATCCTCAGGCATGGAGGGGGGTGATTTTTAGCTGTAGTGTCAGTGGTCACAGGAGTGACGGCAGCGATCATAAAATCACCACTTAGTCATGCCTGATTACTAGAACGACAACCTGTAGAGATTCATCCCATAAAAGTGTTAGGCAGAAACCACTTAGAATTACCACCAGATTTGGTTTAACGTGTAAATGTGAAGTGTCAGTCTGGAATAGGGTAATTCTTATAACTTGCGTGGAGAATAGAGAAGTGTCAACAGTGCCTCTGGATGTGTTTTGTGTATTCCACTGGATTATCGTGTAACCCTGGAACTGGATACCGTTTATAAAGAACTTGTGTTAGGTTCATAAGGGATTGATGTGCTCACTGTGCAGTATATTGTGTCAGGTTCATAAGGGATTGATGTGCTCACTGTGCAGTATATTGTGTCAGATTCATAAGGGATTTATGTGACTACTGTGCAGTATAATGTGTTAGATTCATAAGGGATTTATGTGACTACTGTGCAGTTATATTGTGTTATACGCATAAGGGAAATATGTGATTACTGTGCAGTTATATTGTGCTAGATTAATACTGGATTTATGTGACTACTGTGCAGTATATTGTGTCAGATTCATAAGGGATTTATGTGCTCACTGTGCAGTATATTGTGTTATATGCATAAGGGATTTATGTGATCACTGTGCGGTGATATTGTGTTAGATCCATAAGGGATTTATGTGACTACTGTGCAGTTATATTGTGCTAGGTTAATACTGGATTTATGTGACTACTGTGCAGTATATTGTGTTAGATTCATAAGGGATTTATGTGACTACTGTGCAGTTATATTGTGTTATATGCATAAGGGATTTATGTGATTACTGTGCAGTTATATTGTGCTAGATTAATACTGGATTTATGTGCTCACTGTGCAGTATATTGTGTTAGATTCATAAGGGATTTATGTGACTACTGTGCAGTATATTGTGTTAGATTCATAAGGGATTTATGTGACTACTGTGCAGTATATTGTGTTAGATTCATAAGGGATTTATGTGACTACTGTGCAGTATATTGTGTTAGATTCATAAGGGATATATGTGACTACTGTGCAGTGTATTGTGTTAGATTCATAAGGGATTTATGTGACTACTGTGCAGTTATATTGTGTTATATTCATAAGGGATTTATGTGATTACTGTGCTGTTCTAGTGTGTTATATTCACAAGGGATTTATGTGATCACTTTGCAGTATATTGTGTTTCAGTCATAAGGCGTTTATGTAATCACTGTGTATTAGTATTAAGTTGTATTCATACAGGATTGACAAGGTTATTGCACAGTGTTAGTTATGAGGGATTTAGGAAGTGACTGGATTTATATTGTGTTGCATTCATAAGGAATATATGTGGTGAATGTGCAGTGGTATTGGGAAGTCAGTACAACCAAAGTGTTGACGGTATAATGAGTTGTGTAGTTTAATTAGTTACTAGTGATCAAGTATTTTGTGCTATTGGTGAAGGGATTATTATTATTCTGTTGTTGTTGGAATATTACCCGACCAGGAGATAGGGATTTATCGTCATATTATGTCATTGTGTTGCCTTACCAAATTTCCGCTATTAGTACTCCTAGAGGAATTTTACTCTGAGCTTACTTTCAACGTTAAGTTTTCCCCTCATATTTTGGATAGTCAGCCTATAATCAAATTCAATCATATTTCATTAGCAATTAGAAGAGTACGTGTTGTTATAGTGTTTACACTCGACCAGTGGATTAGATTTCATCAAAGGGAGTAACCAATGGTTATCATCGACTGGGGTGGCACACGTTCTCTCCCAGGCACTGTCGGGGGTAGCTGATTAACCGCCAGCTGCGCGCAGGCCCCAACGGAGAGGACATATCTCGAGGATCGGTACGTCTTAACCATTACGGAACCCACCTTTGTGGAGACTACGAACTTGGATATCACCTTTTGGCAATACCTTTGATTACGGAACCTAGGTATCAGGATCAAGACCAAGACTTCATATTTTATGTAAATAGTCGGCACACAATAAATGTACATATTTGTATTTAATGAATCATGGATTTCATTTAAGTAAGTTACCGGAATCGCTTACAAATCTGGGCTCGTAACACATTTTTCGAACCTCAAGACCAGTAAGGCCTTGATAAAACTTTAGTGACGGCCTGTCAAATCGAGCCTTTGGCTCATTGCACTAGTCTCATATATTAACACATGTATATTTGAGGCTGGGTCAATAGCCATTTTACAAGACAGGTATAGTTTAGTTAATTAGTCGTCACGCACATATGGTGGCAGCGGTACTACTTCTCACATTACAGAGTTACAGACTTTGATTGATCAACCAATAATGACCATGGACGGACAACTGACGGATAACGCAGTCTAGACTTCCGTCAATACCTGAGGTCAAGGGCAGGGCCGTGACCGATAGGGGGGTTACGTCACAGTATGTTAAAGTGCTGCATTTTTGATTTACCAAATTATAGACTATCAGATTATTTCATAATAAATCAGGACAGTGTATTTATTTCTGTTACAAACATCATAGTGTTGCTTTCTCGATTTAGCAAATTATAGTAAAGCGTGTCTTTTGATACATTGTAATCATACATGATACGGATTGAACAAAGGACAATGTAAAGATCCCGTACACATAGCATTGTAGCGTTAGTTCAGGTCAAGTATGATGCTACCTGTATTATTTGTGTGTGTCATTGACTTGTAATATTTGTTCCTGCTTAGATAACGAATAAAGCTTTGTTTTACTTATGTGTGATTAGGGCTTGAACGATAAACCAGATAGCAGACGATAATAACAATTATAACACATTCATAGGACTACCTGTTGTTATTGGCCGTAATGTTAAGTATGATATACCGTGCTACCTCCAACAAACTTTCTTGTTAACAGAAATTAGCGGCGCAGTCATTCAAAAATGGCCTCCTTTGTAAGACCTGAATAGGACCCGGTAAGGTATGAATAGAGTACGGGTGTACGTAGGTGTATACATGCTGTTGTATATTGTTATATAAGGAAATGTTTTTAACGCATTTAAGCTGCATACATATTTAATATGTAATGACTATATTTCTCTTTTAAAGGGATCTTTCAGTTTATACCTGTATTTTTAATAGCTGGTTCATTATTCCTAACGCCTATTTTCCAATAACGATTTTTTTTATTTTTTTTATATACGTTACGATGCCCATTGTCAATGTTTTTGACTAATAGCTTCTTTGCATGGAATGCCCTCTGACTGTATACCTATAGTATATTGTATCGACGCAGAATAGTTTCTTAAAACGATTAAAGACTGTCATCATCAGCTGTTAAGCTATGCCAACAGGATGTAGGCAACCACTGTTATTTTTCTAAAATGATAGTGTACACTTAAATCATGCAAACTGACATCATCTGACATACATTGTATGTTAACTTAAAAGAGGTTGGTTTAAAACGGTCATATTTTTTCCTTGCTGTATTCCTACTTGTGTTTGTGAACAATTATGATATTAGTACTATTGATAAGTTCTAAATGGACGTAGATATACAGTACAGTAAACACTGACATTGTTCGACTTTCTGCATCAATAAATACACTTTTAAATATGCGTGCTTTCTTGCTCAGTGTTGCTTGAGATTACTTTATGGAACACCTTATCGATTCCAAATCATTTATATTGGTACAATTGTATACTGATCAATTTGAATGAAATAAAGACGGTACCAATTTCCGTGGAACAACTTATTTGATATTGTTAACTCGGTGTCCGAGTCTGGCTTTTGCAAATGTTATCATTTTTCATAACAATATTAGTTGCCTTTATCTTGAAGTAATATTACCTGTTCATAAAATGAAGAAAATAACATCATTTTTAATGATAAAATAATTAATACAGATAATGGACAAATTGTTATTGCAGTTTATATTTTATGTCTCATTTTATCGTTATTAAACGTTAACTTGACATCGTAATTTTGGATAATGTGGTTAATAAGAAATTCTTGTAAATGGAAATATGTACTTATAACATTGGTGTGAACAATTTTAATTCAAATATAACTGTTTGCGTAGCACTAACGTACCGTTTGCGTAGCATTTCCTTAGCGGTTTGACGTATACGGGTCTGTATGTTATGTTGAAATCAATTCTGAATTCATATGCTATTTCTTTCCCTTAGATATTTTTTTCATATTTATAATGGCTTTGCTATCTTCAAGTACCCTTTGCTAGACCCCTTACCATGTATATCAGGTGCATTTGGAAATACCATTTCATTTAATTTTCGGTTTGGATTGACACTGATTCTATCCCAAGGACGAACAATTATATAAGGTATGTAGCGCATGCTATTGATACATTTTCACATAAATTCATGTATAACTGCATCACAATGTAAGTAAACTATTATATTACGGATAATTAACGATTATCTTTGTCACGGTAAAGGGAGCACAACAAGGTGAGTCTCTTATTGTGTACTATAAACAGTGTTCATTCACGGGTAAAGGTAAAAGAAGAAAATATAAAGTAAACACTAATTTAAACATATAAACATAATGTAATGTTGAATGTTTGTAACAAGCTACGGGTAATATAAAATAAATTGAAAAGGTGGCATTTGTAGTTCCTGTCGTGAAGAAGAATGTGACTTAAACCATTGTTTATTTGTGTGTTTTGAGTAACTACATACATTACGTCATCGCGTGAGGCCCCATAAGGGACCGAATGTGTAGTAAAATATAACCTCGTGTTTAGCTTAAACGATAAACAGCTGTTTTCATCTAACCTCTTAATGAATAGTATTATTAAAATTAAATTTCATACACGAGAAGAATTCTGTGTGATAATTAACTTTACCGCATGTAATAGAGACATTACACATTTAAACACCGATACTAGTATCACAGACATAATGACGACTGCTGCACCACCTATATCTGACTAGCAATCGGGGAAAACCCTGGCAAATGATTTGACCATATCGGCACTTCCGGTACAGCAAGTGACGTCACTATGGTAACTTAACAATAAAATATCCACGGAAGTCATCATTTCTAACGATAGTTTATGTGTTTATTGTCAAACAATATGATGTGAATATCATTTATTCTTGTACTCAGTATGTTACACTGAGAGGAACGCGATCCCTTGTTATGTTATGTTTGTTTGTAGTGCTGTATAAAATGTTAGGTACCCGACGGGGGGAATATCTTATTATCATCAAAATATAGATACGACCTCGTGTATAACTAGCAGTTACGGTATTATAACAGGATATATATTTCTACTGAACCTTGCATCATACGGAAATAAATAAATAGTGTTACTTTATATGTAAAGGGTCGCTATCGTTGTATTGTCGTCATATTCGTCTTGTCTCAATCAGATGATTGGTTTGGTTTTATTTCGTTGAACATCTTATCAATAGCTAAGTTATTTTAAGGACGGGCATCCATGTGTACTATTAATGGGTGCATATGTGTATGTGTGCTTGAGACAGGGAATGTTTGTGTATTTGCCTCCTTGTGATAGTGTGGATCTGATGCCGACTTTACAGTGCTATCTCATTGAAATACCATGCCGAAGGCACTCAGCACACCATTCCGACCGGTCACAATATACTGACAACGGCTGAAACAATTGTTAAGCAGTGAATACAATCTACCATTTAAAGGATTTTGGTATGTCCCGGCCTGGAGACAGGACCCATTGCCTTTCTCACCTGGGCGAACGCTCAACATTAAAGCCAGAATTGCTTTTGTTTCCCAAAGTAGAGAGACCATAAGTAAATAGTGCAGGGGGATCAAACATTAGTCGCCTCTTACGAAACATGCGCTCGGTAACAGATTAATTTGAGAACTCGACACGACAACTAGGGGAAAAAAACAAATTTGCAAAACTTGGAAATTTAAACCCTTTTTCTATAAATTTGGTATGTTGTCACATCTCCACATACAATTAGCGGATCAACTTGTTGTTTTGATCGGTATACCTATTTATTTGGTAAGATATGTTTTCACATTTCCAACAAAAACACACATGATCACCTTGTGATATTGGTCGTTATATCTATATATTTGGTATGTTGTCAAACTTCCAACATAAAATTATCTTGAAATTACTCCATGTTGACCTCAGACTCTATACTAACAAGAACCATGTGCATACAAAGATTACGTTTGTTTAAACTATTACAACAGACAACTCTCGCACGTAAGCCACACTGCCAGAAAGTAAGGATAATTTTTTTTTTAATAATATTGGTATTACAATTTCTTTTGACACCACATGACACAACGTTGCATACTGAAGGGTATTGTAACGCAAGCAGCACTCTTTGTGTTTTTCTTATGTTTCAGAACAAATGTATTTTCATTTCATTTATATTATTACTAATTATAAACCTTAAATTGACAACTCGGGCATTAGGTGCAGTAGCCACTCACAAAGTTAGGTCTTTCTTCATTACTAAACTAGACTTTTAAATACATTGTGGATGATGCCTACTTGTTTTAATGTTTAGGTTTTGAAACATACCTCAATTGATCAGTCGTTTTAATATCAAAATTATATTTAATTTTTTTTCTGTTAGGTATAAACGTGTAAACCATTGCTTCTTTACGTTTATGCTATCTTCTTGTACCCTCTACTGAGCCCTTTATGGTCTATATCAAGTATGTTTTGGAAATACCCTAACTTTTGGTTGCGAACGACACTGCTGTTAGCTTAGGAAAGAGCAATTTTACCACTGCAACGAAAATGATACATATGTTTCCTTTAGTGTACTTATTTCTAAAAACTATTTTCATACGGTAAAACGTACCAATGTAAAAGTTACAGTAATGATTTCATCATTATACAGATATAAAGGTGTAACACTAACTTTGATTATGCAGATGAAATGGCAACTTCTTCACCTTCATCATACTGGCAAGTTGGTAAAACGTTACCAGAATGCTTTGACCATGTCTTCACTTCCGGTATAGTCAGTGACGTCACATTCCTTGTCGGCGAGGAAATGGAAAGGATTTCCGCCCACAAATTGGTCCTCATGAGCAGAAGTCCAGTATTCTACGCCATGTTAGAGGGACCGATTGCCGACAAAGGGGATATACCAATCCCGGATATTTCTGATGAGACATTTAAGTTGTTTCTGAGGTATGCATCCTTTGGTTTGTGATTGTATTGACCTGTTGTTTCACGATGCGATCTCGTTAAAGTCAACTGGTTTGGGTCCTGTGAAGGAGCTATCCTGTCTACAATGTTATTACTGGCACATATGTAATTATTTCGTAAAATAAGCAACAAACACAGAGTAACATTATAATTCTGGAGGTTTACCATTTTACAATAATATTATCTTCAACAACATTCATCCGTTTTGAACTATGTTAGATTTTAGTTTTACTTTATTGTTTACATGTACATCTGCTGTATATGTATATGTCATTCGACCCGGGACGTTTTGCAAATTGATATAAAGCGCATACACTGTGTCGAACAGAACAATACAAATAGATCACTCCGTCATATCTTGACAAAAGGACCAGTCGGTCTTGAAACGCTGCGAATTTTTGTATACGTACATTTAATATTTGGTAAAACTTTGATATAACCTTTAACATACTTTGTTTTGCTTTGTCATTGATTTGAGCACGATGGTAGTGTACTAAGCAATGTAACTATAGCTACCGGTACCAAAAATAGTAATACTGATACTTAAATGGTTCAGTACAACATTTGTGTTTAAAAAGTAGCTCTGTACTTCATGTTCTATGTATCACATCTATCTAATCCCATTTATGTTATATAGGTATCTATACACAGACTCAATTGACCTGACGTTGAGGAACGTGGTCCCCGTGTTAAACGCTGCCAGGAAATATTTTGTTGACATCTTAGTTTCTCACTGCGAGAAATTTCTTGCTTCGAATTTATCATCTGATAACGCCTGTCTATTTCTGGAGCAGGCTCATGTCTTCGTGATGGATAGTTTGAAATCGGACTGTCTTCGATTCATTGATGAGAATCCTACCGCTGCTCTGACTTCTGAAGCCTTCACTGACCTGTGTGTGAGCTGTGTTACCAGTATAACGGAGTCTGATGATCTTCGTGTTACTGAGAACAACGTGTATGAAGCCATCATCAGATGGGCGGAGGCAGAATGTGCTCGTCAGAACCTCGAGGTAAGTTGTTTTGTATCATTAATTTCATTTGAAACATTTCAATTTTTATATATATTTAAGATAATTCCTTCTAAAACACAGATTTATTTGCTCATCTAAAAGATTTCTAGTAATGTATTTTCCAGTTTTGGCACATAATTTCAAAGCAATATGAAAATTCCAAGGATTCATAATTTTATAATAATGAATTATGAATGCTAAATATATGTATACTAGCGGAAAAATAAACTGTGCATGCCTAAAATGTGTTATAAAAATAAAGTGTATGACGTAGAATAACAAGATTTTCAGGGACAATTTTTTTGTTATTTATTAACAGTTGCATTCCATTTTCCACGTTATGGAATCAATAAGTTCCGCTCAGGAATGACGTAAATACAACATGGCTCAATACTGAGTTCACAAAGTTAATACCTTGTATGTCCACCGTTTGCTTGCATGCAAGCATGGCAACGTCGACGCATGGAGCCTATCAGACGGTTCAAGAATGCTTGTAGGATGGCATTTCAGATCTGTACCAACGCTGCAGCCAAATCAGCCAACGTTACCGGTTGATTAGGTCATGCCCGTAATATGCGCTTCATTTCATCCCAGACGTGTTCAATGGGCGATAGATCGGGGGATACATAAGGCCAGGGCAACACGTCAACGTTCTGCTGGGCCAGAAAGTCCATAGCGACACGAGCTGTGTGTTGCCTGGCGGTGTCCTGCTGTAGCGTAATGTGACGTTGCTGCCCTTGCACGAATGGAACGACGTGGGTCCGGAGGATCTCGTCACGGTAACGTAGCGCGTTCAAATGCCCGTTAACAACCACCAGAGGCGTTCTCGCGTTGGCTGTGATGCGCCTCCGCTGAAAGAACGTCGTTGTACCACACACGCGTCACTGAAACGTTCTCCAACGTGGCGATACACTCTGGAACGGCCGTGACTACTATCCAGGTGGACTCGCGACTCGTCCGTAAACAAAATGCGTGCCCAATCCGGTCGAGTAAATTGCAGATGCCTTTGAACCAGGCCAGACGTTCTACACGATGACGTGGCAGAAGAACTGGGCGGATTGCAGGAGGTCGCGGACGGATAGCTCGTTCACGCAATCGGTTCCGTACAATTCTCGGGCTTATTGGTAGCAACCCATGGTTTGTCCGTGCAGTCAAACTTGCCGTTTGGAAGCTTTCTCAAATGGACAAGCCGAATATGGTTGTCCTGTTGACGTGACGCCACACGTGTTCGTCCCGCACGAGGTCGATCGCCGACGTTGCCAAACTGTTGATGTCGTCTCCACAAACCCCGGATTGTGTTTCGATGGACATGAAACGTGTAGAGACACCGGCTTGGCCGATACCAGCTTGAAGCATACCAATAAGCCGGAGGCGGTCATTTTCATTGAGCCTCGGCATAGCATTAATCACAAAATAAAACGTTATAATGCTGTTGTACTGTTCACTGGTCTCAACAGAGTGACCCAACAGTTGAAAAATACAGTTTCATTGTCGAATTGGATGGCTGGACGAGACAAACGTGCAAACTGGTCAACGCCTATAGAGAGCAAACTGCACGGGAAAAACTGGCAATGACACACTAGCAATGTCTGCTCCAATATAGCTGCTAATACTATTCCAATCCATGGTGCCGTGTATTTTCTAGTCCATGGCAGGTCTACCGGTAAAGGATACGTGTTGTTACCGTTATTTGAATGTCTTACTGTTATCACAAAGGTGAAAGCATGCTACTTTAAAGTTTGGTCCAATGTAATAGATTGTGCCAAAGATCATATGCGTTGTACCATATAGTTGTTAAAGGCCAAAAACCGTATTCTAACTTATTCCATGGTGCCTGAAGTTTAATATTTGTCAGTTTACCATCTTATCAAGGCAACTTTATAAAACACTCAGTAGTGTCTTTGGGTAGCAGTCTACAGTAGAGGGTTGTGGCCATGGGTTATTTTTTTGTTAAATGGCTAACCCCTGTATAATGATATGTAAAAAAATATATAAAAATTAAACTGTACTAAATTTGGTATAAGCATGATGAAGTGGGCTATGTGAGCTTCACATTTGTAAAAAAAAAAGTTTTTGGTTCGAGATCAAAATTTTGGCCATAATCCGAAAGGGTAGCTAGCTTTGCTAAAATTTTGACAACAGCACACGACGCAAAATTGCAAAAAATCGAGTTTTACAACTTTACTGGGACCCAGATTAATCTGCAACCAAGTAGGTAATCTTTAATTTCAGACAGAACTTATGAAAAAAATACTAGCTGTGGGGGTCAAATTTTAGGTCAAAAATAACATTTTTTGGCATTTTTTGGTAATTTTTGATGTGGTAACCATGGTTTTCACACAAGTGACATACATAGAAAAAAAGGGGTTTATACACTTCTCATGACTTTATATGTATTGTAAATGTAATGCAGTTTACAACTATATATACATGTATATATGTGTTGTGTAGGGTAAATCCGCTGTGTTTACATTTCCTCGACATGTGCCTTGTTTTTCAGAGTCGGGCCATTTCTACTGTAGACAGCTACCTTGGTTTGAACCTACTATTTATAAAATATATGAGAGCGTCTGCGTGCAATTTTTTTTTTCTCCCCATATTCTTTCCCGACGTGAAAATGATTTCAATTATAAGTCTCAGGCCAAACGATATATTCCTAACTGTTTTGTGTTCAATTACATTGTTTGTGTAACTATATGCTTCAAAAATTAATATTCCGGTTTATTTCAGACAACAGCAAACAACAAGAGAGAAGTTCTTGGGGAGACTCTGTACACGGTACGCTATCTTCATGTTGACGAGGAGTTTCTACTCGGTAAGATTTGTTCTGATAAGATACTAAAGCCAGATGATGTCGTGGAGATTATTAACCACAAAAGAAATAAAAAACCTTTAATATCGAAAAAATTAATGACGAAGAGACGGTTTGGTAATCCGGAGAGATTTTACAGAAATGGACCAGTAATCAACGATTTTTGGAATGCACCAGTCGATGAGGCTATATCATTCAAAACAGACAGCGATGTGCATTTATTTGGGTTTGGGTCATTTTTTACGAACGTCACACAAAGTACTGTCGATCTGAAAGTGTTTGAAGAGGACGTCTGCCTTGTTCAAGCAAACAAGACAGCGGAACCTTCTCAACCCGACACACCACACATGGGGGATGTGCTATTGGACACCCCAATCCCACTACATGCTGGAAGAAAATATACAATTGTAGAATGTCCAAGCAACCCGTTTCGTTATTATTTTACCAAAGGGATTGCAAAGGTCACCAATCAACATGTGACAATCGAATTTAGCAATAGTTCGAGAAGCAGACACACTGACACAGACTGGGGTCAGATACCTTATCTCCTTCTGTCGTGATGACATCCTGAATATAACGGGTGGTCGGGTGGTATATTTCGATTCCCCGATAGGACGTGAAAAGGTCAAGGGTCACCAGCCCGACCACGTGGGTTTTCTCCGGGTACTCCGGTTTTCTACTTCTACTAATTGTATGTGAAAGTATACATTATGGCCTCGCAGTCTGATCCAATATTATTTCTATTAATGATCCTCCTGCCGCTGCCAAGCCATGAAGCTTTGCATTGGAAACTGCTTTTACCGGCATGTCTATTGTATTGATAAACTATTTCTCAACAAAAAACAAAACCTTGCGGGACTTTAAGTTTTTTTTAAATAAGATGAAATAAATGATAATGAACAACAATGTGCTGAGTGTAAACATCAGCCTGGCTAGACTGGTATTCGCACTCCGGACATCAGAATGTGATACTATCGCTCTTACCGAACGTGCATGGTAGTCGGGGGATATTTAGAGTAATAATACAGTCTATGGTAAAGGACACTTCTAACGTTCTGGCGCGAATTCATAACCTGTATGTTTTGGGAAGAATTTTAAGATCAGTTATGTCTTTTCTGGTATAGAATGGGCTCTTTTTTCTTTTCCTTTTGAATTGTAGATCCATTGCGCTGATGTTGCACTATCAAACTATTTTAAATGAATTTGACATTGACACGCTTTTCAATTGTATGAACATATATTTAGTATATACTACGTGTTTTTTTTTGTTTTTCTTGTTGAATATATTATGATTTTTTGTTTTAAATTGGCAAAATTATCTTGTTATTTGCTGGTTGTATTAAAGCAGAATAGTAATCTGTCTTTATCAAATAGTAAATAAGCATGAAGATTGTACAAATACACAGCCCTCACAGTTGTACGATAGGAGTATGTCACATAAAGTCGTTTTAGTCAATAGCATGACTGGACATTTAATTCCCATGAGTACCTAAAACATGTGTTATAAAAATATCAATAAGGATGTCGAAAGTTAGCCTGGGTTTTTTCCAGATTTATGCAGCACTCGCAGAACAAATTGCACGTATGACCCAATAACGGTTCTTGTTACATATACTTAATACAGTTCGTAATGTTTAATATATAAAGTTGCTACACTATATGAATTCACCAAGTTCAGACAACATTCTGTTCATGATGAAGAAAAACGTTCTTTGTATGATATTGAATATGTAAGTGTTAAATGTAAGAACGGTTTTATATTGACAGAGTGCAGATGTTGTTAAACTTAGATCTGAACCTACATTGAAGGTTAAAGCTAAAGAATGAATTATAAATGACATTGAATATCAGATACAATGTAACGGTACGGTAGAGATATTTACATTTATTGATACATTTGTTAAAACATAACAAATTTGTCAAAGAACAACATACGTGTCAACAAAACCATAACTCAAAACTAAAAAATCTATATCAAATCTAAGGCAAAACATGAACTCAGGAAATATTTACATGGATACCACTGAAAAAGTACGAGGATAATAAGTTATGTGTTTTATACCTTAAAATTGTCTGATAACATTTTAATAATATTGTGCAATTGTTATTAAATCTTTATTTATAACAAATCAGAAATGAGTATTTAAAAAGATGTGATTTGAAAAATACAACGTTTTTAATAATAATAATGGCGGTGCTTTGTGACATACTCAATTTGTCAATAGCCATTCAGTGGTAATTTATGATAAGTTATGTATACATTTCTTACAGTCGTCGAGCGTCCGTTTACAGCATTCCTGTAAATGTAAGGACTCACAAAACTAAATCAGCCAATCAGCAAGTGTTTCATACGTTTGTAGTTGCTATCTAAAATGAGTTCTGGCTAATTACTTGGCCACTGAAGGAGTTTGATAAGGAACTGATGACAGATTTTTAGATAAATGAAATGATCAGGTATTTCACTTTTGAAAAATGTATTCATTTGATATATTTCCATGTCTGTGTGCGGATTTGTACTGGGGCAGAATGTCTGGAGGCCTTTCTGTTTTGGGTCACCGGTTTTTCTTGTAAGCTTCCGGTTGTCAACTTCTTAGCGTTGTGACACTCCAATATGCCACTAAACCTACCAAAAAAGTCATTTTGTAGCCTTTGCAAGGTATGTATTTATAAATCTAGACAGTTGTCACTTGTTTTGAACTTCAAATATTAAAGTTATTAGCTAAAATGTTTGGTAACAACATATAGTAAATGATTTAGTTGTGGGAGTCCTTAAACGATTGCAAGACGAGTATATTATACAGAGTCGTGTTCTACGTACTCATTGTAATAAAGCACTATGATATTAACATCTGCTGTTTACATTTACATTGATATGTTATTCATATCTGGTTTCCACTGCTTAACAATCTATTACCCCTTTCGTATTCCCGAATTCGTACTGTTGCTCATATTCCTTCATTCCCGTAGTAAGTATTGAAATATTTGACACGAAGCAGGTACAGATGTACATATGTGTCGTGACACTTGTTTTTCTTTTCTTTTCTATTTCAAATAATGTAATGTACAGAGCTACACATAGATTTCCACATATATGCATGTAATACATAATTTACTTCTGATTTTATATTATGTCTCTTAAATATGAAAACGATCAGTTACGACTGTGCTTCTACATAATAAACATTGTGTGTCATCAACCTTTCCTTTTCCTATGGCCGCCTTTCCCCCTTTTGATCTGATAGGCTTATATTTTGTATGTTTTGTATGATCATACTTATTGCATAGTTTTGTTTTATGTGATAGAATAATTACTAAGTAAGGACAATCTCATAATGGTGGACCATTTCATAACATCAGTTTGCATCTTTCTGTTTACTCATTTTGTCATCCATATATTAAAAAAAATCTCAAAAGAATGTAAAATCCTTGATTTACCTATTTATTAACAAATCCCTACAAAATATTGATTTCAATCCACCATCACTCCAAAATCTGCCAAATTCTCTCGTTCTTAATTATCTTAGCTATGAAAATCAGAATGCAGTATCCATGACTGGCTCCAAAACTCATGGGTGGATGACCAGTGGCTGATAAGCCAATGTGGACATGTTTGGTCTGTATCCCATGAGTGGAGGGAATCCTGTCATGGATGCTGGATTCGAGGCTCTAAAAATTATAATTTTGGAAAACATAGTGAATACACTATTTCATTTATTATAACAATCTTAACTATTGTCCTTACTTCCAAACTCATATTTAATACTTCAACATTTTATATTTCATACTTAAAATAATCAACTTTGAAATTTCAAAATAACAACATACTATATTATATATATATATATACTCATTGTTACCTTTAGTAGAGAACTAATATAGGCTATGCCTGTTGTTCAATCATTTTTCTCAATGTATAAAGTTTGTTGAAATGAAATAATGTACAATTTATATTTCAATGTATTGTTAAATATATGAATGATATAAAGTTTAAACCAAAAGATGTGTCATTTTTAGTTGTTTTTGAGATTACCATACATAACACATATGAGTGAGCCTTGCTTGTTAACGGTAAATACTACATTAATAAAAACGGATATAATTTAATGGAGATCTACCTGGATTCATCTTCATTTGATTGATGGCGATTGTAGAGTTTGATATATATGTAGTTAGTTAACATTTCTAGCATATTAAAGCAGTCTTAATAAAGGTGTGTATGTGTATGAGCATTATTTAAATTTCAATATCATCCTTTCGTCATATTTCTTTTTTTCAAATAAATATTTATTTTGAAAAACAAACAATTGTTGGGAGATGAACGTTAAACCAATTCATGAAGTGATTCGCATTCACAGTAAGCACAACAAAAAGTTATGAAAAGTAAACGAGGGAGTACTGATATCTATCGTGATATAAATTTTTGAACAAATTGTTAATTCGAATCGAGTTTGTTTTTATTATGTAATATCATTTTATTGTTATTTTGAATAATTGATATGTTACGTGAATAAACACTTCCACAACAAATTGTATTCGTTGTAGGATGTGATCATTCATAACACAACTTATGCTTGTCAGTAACAAGGGGAGCCAACTTTGTCGTTGCTAATCACTACCTTTCAGGAAAAGATTGAAAAGCGGGAAAAACGGTAATAAATTGTATAGAAAATTCTCGAAATAACATTAAAGGTTTGTTTTTAAAAATAATTTATCACCGATAAAATATCGAGTTCACAGAGGATGTGATATTGAAATAGATCAGGTGGTTCTCTAAGTAATGAATATTTTGGTTTGTAAACCCTAAAGGATAGCAATGGTTTCTTATAGACAAAGGAAGATATATTTCTTGCAAAGTTGTTTTCAACGAGGATCGACTGGCAAGATTTATCAAGGAAGTATTGTGACGATCACGTGACAAACTAGGTCCGTAAGTACTAGCTAGTAGGAACGTTCATGATAGAAAACTTCCAATGTTTTAGGGGTGACAAGTGAATGTACGATCAACATGGTCAATATAGCTAATGCTATGAAAGACAACTCTTGTCAATATCCGAAAGTAAAATTGAAGGACTGTGAAAAGGTTTAATCACTAGTCCTGATAAGCTATTTGATAAATTAGGTGTAGAATTCTCAAGATATGCTCCACACTATTTAACAACCATATATTTGTATCGCCTGAAAATAACGAAACTGCTGTGATAATAAGAAAAGCACTCGGTTTTTAATATGTTTTTTGATCGAAAGAGGCTGGTAAAACTGAAGAATTCTTAACTCATATCATTAATGATCTTTGATACAAACCCTTCACGGAATAAGCCCATCACACACATTTCTCTTAACTATATCGTGCTAAGATAATGTTTATCTAAATATTGCTTTTATCTCGAGAAACTATCGGGCATCTAACCTATGTCTTGTGTGTAATGAACGAACATCAAGGTTCTGACGAGAACACTTCCTCTCCGCCCATCTGATGGCGTCCTTGTGTGTAATGTAACAAACATCAAGGTTCTGACGAGGACACTCCCTCTCCGCCCATCTGATGACGGCCTAAAAAACATCAAGGTTCTGACGAGAACATTTCCTCTCCACCCATCTGATGGCGGCCTTGTGTGTAATGCAACAAACATCAAGGTTCTGATGTGAACACTCCCTCTCCGCCCATCTGATGACGGCCTAAAAAACATCAATGTTCTGACAAGAACACTCTCTCTCCGACCATCTGATGACGGCCTTGTGTGAAATGCAACAAACATCAATGTTCTGACGAGAACACTCCCTCTCCGCCCATCTGATGACGGCCTTGTGTGAAATGCAACAAACATCAATATTCTGACGAAAACACTCCCTCTCCGCCCATCTGATGACGGCCTAACAAACATCAAGGTTCTGACGAGAACACTCACTCTCTGTCCATCTTATGACGGCCTTGTGTGTAACGCAACAAACATCAAGGTTCTGACGAGAACACTCCCTCTCCGACCATCTGATGACGGTCTTGCGTGTAATGCAAAACACATCAAGGTTCTGACGAGAACACTCACTCTCTGTCCATCTTATGACGGCCTTGTGTGTAACGCAACAAACATCAAGGTTCTGACGAAAACACTCCCTCTCCGCCCATCTGATGACGGCCTAACAAACATCAAGGTTCTGACGAGAAAACACCCTCTCCGCCCATCTGATGACGGCCTTGTGTGTAATGCAACAAACATCAAGGTTCTGACGAGGACAATCCCTCTCCGCCAATCTGATGACGGCCTTGTAAACTGTAATGTCTTAACTCGCTTGGCTGTGTGAATCATGTGAGGAATAAACAAAAATGTCCGTCTCGTTCAGCGTTTATTGTGCATGCAGAAGCGCGAATTCATCTCCTATTGGAGAGTTAATAATACAGTTACGGAATTATCTCCCTTAGACCATACATTACATCATTGTCTCTCTCACCCATCGCATATCATACATACAAGATTCCTCCCGACAAAACAAAATTGTACTATAACAATTCTAACATGGGTGCAAGGAAAATGAAATGTTAATTGTAGAAAGTTACATTATAATAATATCGTATACCTACTCGAGAGAGATAAACCAAGCCTTGAAGTCGTTATGGATGAAATGGCCATCTTTGATATTCTGTTATAGTTATACAGTTTAAAAAATAATTTACAGAAGTAACCTACACACTCTCACTAGCACTGATGTGGTACCAACATACAAGTGATGGCAAATATGTTACATACTAATCACATTGTATAATTGTAGTAAAATATGTCCACACAATGTTATTCCTGAAATATCTCACACACTCGCTTTCCATGGAGCTCATTATTGACCATTCATTTAAGTTCCGCACAAAATTAGCAAAATAGCAAATAGCAAAAAATGAAAATAAACTACATTGCTACTGATGACAAACTGAATAAAGTCCGGTAGGAATGTGTG